ACCATAGGGAAATAGATGATGTAAGGCACATAAAATACTGGGTAGTTATTGAAATCCTACTTTTAAGAATATTTAATTACATGGGAGAAAGGCTTATAATAAAATGTTTGATATGATCCTAATTTTGTTATACACACACAGATATGAAGGAGAAACAAAAAAATCACACTTCTTTATTGTCTTCAGTATTAAAAACTTTTCATTTTATAATGAGCAGTTGCTATTATAATCAAGATAATATTTTTGAAATCCCTAATAAAATATAACAAAATTGCTATCATGTCTCTCCTTAACTTTCTACCTATCTGACAACCTTTCTTTCCTCGGGCCACATTTGGATGACTACAGATTTTGGTCATTCAAGTACTACTCTGAAACTCTGCGATAGGTTATAAAGAAATAGCTTCTTCTGAATAATTATGGGCAAGCAAACTGGGATTCACATCAGAAGTCTCTACTACAGCAGATCTCATGTGTGTATCTCAGATTTCTCTATGTAACTTCATTAAGAAACCGGAATGGCTTCCGAGAGTGCCAGAGAGCCTGCTGGAAAATGCTCGATGGTCATCCGAGAGAAGGAAATGACATTATTCACGTTGGAGGAAGTCCTGGCTGAAACAGGAGGGAAAGGGCCTGCAGTCAACAAATTGGACATGGAACTAGAAGAAAATTGACCAAAAGGGACTCCATGGAGATGGGTGGGAACTCACATACATTTACAAATTCCTATACACATATGCAGCTTCTCCTATTTATTTAATACTTAAAAATGGGGAGCTAGGAGCATTGTACCTTGCCAGACCCTGTTCGTTGTAGTCACATTGTCTAGTGACCCCTAGCCTTATAAAATTAGATTGTTCCTGCAGTTTTAGAAGCAACCCAACATCATCTGAACATGTACTTGTTTACAAAAGTTCACATTTGGAAATATTCAAATCTGTGTACTTCAGCATTGGACATTGTTCTACATTTCAGAGAGATGTCCTAGGAAATGAAAAGCAATGAATCATAAGATTAATTTAATCTGGTTCTAAGTTCAGTGGCTTCTATCTCATTTGTACAATGCAATTTGATAGATAGGGACCTGCCATCATTCACTACGGAAAAGACACATTTATTTACTGGTCACTCATGTGAGGGAAAGCAAGTGGATAAAGATGACAGTCGAATTTTTTGGCTGAGTGGGCTGCTGTCAGAGTCAATTCCTCCGAGTGTCTGTAAAACACCTTTCGACCGCACCACAGTTCAGTGGTCAGGTGCAGGTTTCATCAGACCCTTCTCTTTTCCGATTGTGTGATTTCTTATTAAAACAATAAATAAAAGCAACATGCTTGGAAATCTACAAGTTCATTCAAAACATACACATTTTATGTACCTTCATCATGTCATCTCTCCAAAGCCCCACTTTAATTTTCGTTTGGTAATTCAATTCAGATATGTAAACCACTTGACTACGTGGTATGCTCATAAGTAAATATAAAAGATGTATACACATGACAACCCCATGACAACTGTGACAGTATTTTTCAAGATGAGGAAATATGCGCATCTAAGATGGGTTACATAAATAGTCACACAAGTACATTATGAATTATTCAAATGCAATTCTGACTTTAAGACAAACTCAAGAGAGTTTTCCTTAGTCCTAATAAGCAATTTGAAGTCTTCTCTGCCTTTAGAGGTTTTATCCAGAAATTTGAAAAGCTCATAGAGTATAATATTTGTATCCTTAGTTTCTAGAACTCTTCCTCGCTGTGACATCTTTGAACTTGGATTGTATTTCACGTGGCCAATGCCAAACCCCCATAGACGTTTGCTTACTTAATGAAAATGTGGCTTTTCTTGAAGAACAATCATCTCATATTAAAACCAAGAATATAATACATGTTAAACTGCATATTAGAAATGTTGCCTTACAAATGGCCAAACAAAACACTTTGTGTCAATTCATGCATTCAGCAAACATTTCGTGAGTCCCTATCATATCTGGCAGGAAGCCTGGTGGTGTGATGGTTATGAGTTGGGCTGCTAACTGCAAGGTCGGCAGCTCGGAACCACCAGCAGCTCTGTGGGAGAAAGAGGATGCTTTCTATTCCCATACAAAGTTATAGTAAATCCACTGGGGTCATTGTACCTTGTCCTATAGGTCACTATGAGTTAGAATCCACTCAATGGCAATGAGTTTGATTTTATTTTTTTGGCCATATCTTGTGGGATATTGCCTATTGCCATTTAAAAATTTAAAAGGCACAGAGAGTGATGGCAAAAGGTATTAAATGATAAATGTTTTAAGAAAAGAATGAACCACGGATTTTAAGTCTTTATTAATCCTCAATCTTATGATCTAAGGTGGCCCAACACTCAGGATTTGTGATCAGCCAATGCCATGTGAATCCCCTCCATGGGAAAGTCTTGGATACTCCACAAGCAACACTATCATTCCCGAAGTCCAGAAAATATCACATGATAAACGGTCTACATATTTACCTTTGAGTTTTAAACTTTCCATTTCTAATTTGCCTATAAGGAGCCCTGCTGGGCTGCTAACTGCAAGATCAGCTGTAGGAACTCAGAGCTTCTCTGTGGGGAAAAAGGTGAGGCTGGCTGTTCCCATACAGATGTGTTTCCTCGAACACGGAGTAGAGCAGTTCTATTTTGCCTTCTATGGCAGCTACGACTTGGAATCAACTTCATGGAAGTAGGCTGAATACTGTTGTGGTTATTGAATTATGCATACAACAATAATAACACATTACCTGAGGGGGTAGTACATTAAAGGGCTCACACTAAAAGAAGCAAAACCACTTATGAAGTAACAAAATCTTAACTATTCATGCAGTCTTTCCAGGGATAAAGGAGTACAGAAAATAGTTATTAATTTTAAAAAATATGATTTGATAAATAATAATTTGAAACACAAGAGTCTAGCACTATTAAGTTATCTGGAGCAGTTTATTAATACAAGAGAGTTGCCTAAGAAGAAACATTTAGTTCCTTGGTTCTAATACAGTTCTTTATGTATTTCCAGTGATTTAAAAAAAAAATCACTGTACTTTCCAACTTCAAATTATGAAAAAGAAAACATAGCTATGTCAGGAAAACAATAACACATTCTAGGATGTGTTTATATAGTTGTAGTCCTTAGAGTCAGCAGCTCTGAAATTATGTACTACCACCATCTTCCAGAAATAAACCCGTAAATATTAAGGTATGACCCATAATACTGCTATAAAACAAGGTAACCATATTTATACAGGTGTGTTCAGTCAAGGATGAAAACGGAACTGTTCTGAATTTAAGTGATGAAATTACAAAGCTAATAAGGAAAAACTCATGTAAAAGTCCCGTAGTGGATAAAAGTTGTTTATTTCTCCCCCAGAGTGTCCTGTAGATATAAAATGAAGGCTATTCTAATTATCAATGTCTCTGTTGATGTTATTATTTTCAGGTGCCATCAAGTGGGTTAGGTCTCATGTAGCAATCCCTTGTACAACCACGGTCCAGTCCACTGCCATCTTGTATTTGTTGCTATTTGGGGGCCCGTTGATGCGGCCATTGTTCAGTGTTACTTCAAAGCACTACAATTTGGAGCTTAAATTACTTTTCTGTCTGTAAAGTGATCTCATTCATAATCAGGGGACAATACTCTTCCTAATTTTCTTTCTTGATAATGTTTTACAAAATTTTAGAGGACTGTAGTCAAGGCACACAAAGCTTGCATGGTTCTTGCTTTCACTGTCAGGCATTTACTACGGTGGGAATTGTGTTAAAGAAGTGTTGTTTGAGGCTGTATTTTCTGTTGCGACTGCCACCAAAGCGTGTGGAAAAATAAAGATGCACTGTTCTGGCTAAGCAGGCCTATAATGTGCATGCTTCTGGGGAACACCTCATGAAAATTCATCCTCAGACGCCCCAAGGCTACTGTACACATTTTACAATTCACAAAATAGCCATTTCAGACAGCCCACTTCAAGATTAGTTTCAAGGGACCAAAGAACAACTCTCATTACCATCATTTTCTTTCCAAAATCAACATCTCAAATGAGGAAAGTGAAGCGGGGAAAAAAAATCCATGAATAATTTGCCAATCACACCTCTTCCCTAAACAGTTAAACGTTTGTCATAAGGGATGTTTAAATTAAAACAGCCTAGATGAAAACAGATGGTGCTTTGTCACTTTTGTTATCTGATTTAAAGGCACAGTGGAGGTAGGACTTGCCATCAGAGTATCCTTCTATAATACAAGCGCCAGGGCAATATATATCTACATCTATCTATCTGTCTATCTATCTATCTATCTATCTATCTATCTATCTATCTATCTATCTATCTATCTATCTATCTA